CCTTTGCTATTAGTAATATTTCTCATTTAAGCTTTCTCTCTTTCCTCATCAGTCAGACTAAAAGTTTATCTGTATTAGTCTTGTCAAAAAAATCTTTTGATTTTTGTCTTTTCTAATATTTTCTATATTTCTATTTAATTAATGTCAGATATTATCTTATTTCATCTACTTCCTTTGTGGTGCTTTTGTTTTTTGTTTTTTTCTGCCTTATTTTTATAATTAAAATAGGTACCTGGGATTAGGTACCTAGTTCATTTTTCTTAGTAATTGTTTTTTTGTGTGTTTTTTTTTTTTTTATATAAGCACTTAAGGCAATAATTTTCTCTGTTGGTTTGACTACACCCCATAAGTCTTAATACCTAATGTTTTCACTCTCATTGAGTTCTAAATATATTCTAATTTCCATTATGATTTCTTGTTCAATGCATGGTTTCTTGTTCAATGCATAGAAAGATGTTTTATGTTATCAAATTATAAAATATTTTTGTTACCTCTTTGTTAATGTGTTCTAATTTTATTTTATAGTAGTCCGAGAACATGGTTTTCAATAGTTTTAGACTTGATTTGTGGTCAATTATATTGATACATTTTTATACATGTTAATGGGCATATGAAAAGAATAACCATAGAGACTGTGTGAATTCTCTTGTTAGATATTATAGAAATCTTATTGTTGTTTTGTTGCTGCTGTTATTGTAATTTACCATCTTGTGGAAATCACTAATTTACTCCTTGATATGTTTGAAAAGGAATTCTATAGTTGACTCTCTGAAACTGCTTCTTTAAAAGATCTTAATTTATTTTGAGGAACCAAATCCGATAGCCTGTTCATAGTTCTGGATCTTCACATCATTTGACATTCTTCACCACTCTTCATCTAATTTTCTCTTGGCTTCTGTGATAAGACATTGCATTTTTTTTATCCCACTTCTCTGACCACTCCTGTGTCTATTGTTCTCCCTTCCTTTTGCTGTACTCAAAATATGGGTGTTCCCTAAACTTCTGCTCTCATCCTTTCCCTCTCTCTACTTATTATTCCCAACCTTTCATTTCCAAATCCCCAGTCTAGCCATGCTTTCAAATATTATAATATACATATAGGTGATTTCCAAGTACAGCCCCAGAGTCTCTTCTGAAGTCCAAACCTGCATATAGATAGGTCCACTTGCGTGATATACCGTTCTATTAGATTCAATATAGCAAAACACAAAAATACATTTTTCTGCTGCTCACAGTCATAATTATTACATGTTGCTGCAAGATAATATCCTCAAGCAGAGCTCCGATTACCTCATTTTACCACTCAGAATTCCTCAATATTTTTTAATGCGGTAAAATATACATAACATAAAAATCAGCATTTTACCCATTTCTATGCGTATATTTCAAAGGCATTACATATATCCACAATTTTTTGCAACCATCACTACTATCCATTTCCAGTGCTTTTTCATCATACTAAACAGAAACTATACCCATTAAACATTAACTCCCCATTTCCTCTGCTCCAAGTCCCGGGTAACCTCTATTCTACTTTCTGACTTTATGAATTTCAAATTCCAAATTTCTCATAGAAGTAGAATCATACAATATGTGTCCTTTTGTGTCTAGCTTATTTCACTTAGCATAATGTTTTCAAGGTTCATCTATCTATGTTGTAGCATATATCAGAATTTCACTCTTTTTTAAGGCTGAATAATATTCTCGAGTATGAGTGTATATATAAAATATGGTATTATATATATATAGTTATATATGTATTTATATACACTGTAAAAATAATTCTTGTTTATTTTTCAAAGAAGCTATACATATATAACTGCCTATAGAGTTTTGTTTATCTATATTATATATAATTATTTAGAGTTTTACTTGTTTATATATTATATATATAGTTACATAGCTTTATATATTTTAAAATATATCCTTTGGGTATATGCCTAGAAATTGAATTACTGAATCTTATGATAATTCTATGTTTAAGTTTTTGAGGAACAGCCTAATTGACTTCACAGTGGCGGCACCAGTTTATATTTTCACCAGCAATACACAAAAGTTGCAATTTCTCTACATCTTCATCAATACTTGTTATTGCCCATTTTTCAATAATAGCTATCCTAATGGATTTGAAGTGCTATCTCACTGTGATTTTGATTTGCATTTCCCTTCTAGCTAATGATAGTATTTTTTCATGTTCTTATTGGTCACTCATATATCTCCTTTGGAGAAATGTCTATTCAGTTCCTTTGTTATTTTTATTTTTTATTATTTTAAAAAAATTTATCTTTATTGTTGAAAGTATTATTCTTTATTGTTGAAAGTATTACAGAGATGTGT